CCCCCCCCCCCCCCCCCCCCCAACTCCCTTCCCCTTTCCTTAGTAGTGTCCACTCCCAGATTCCCGAGGACCTCCACTTGCAATGAAGGTGTTAATTGTATAATGATAGAGTAGTAGCCCTTTGCTTTTGTGAAATGATGTTACTTTTTTGTTTAGTTATATTTCTCAATCTCTAATTCCAATTAGGAAGACAATGATGAAGTTTTTGGCAAGACTTTGAATAAGAAAGTTGCAGATGTAAAACTTTCATCTTTACCTTTTCGTGCAAACTATTGGGCTGATATCACACCCATAAGATTGTGCCATGGGCAGAGGCCCAAGAAAAGAGATGATGTACCTGCAAAGAAGGATGATGTTGATAAGGTTTGTTGATGTTATGGATGCTTTAATTGAAAAGCTGTTTTGGTGTAATATTTTTGTTGTGTGTACTTTTTGATGAGCAAATGAAAATGAGATCTTTGCAGTTGAACATTACTTCAAGCAGTTTAAAAGAAAGCCTGAAAAATTCAGTCTCCAGCATCATTCAAACCCTTTATCTTAGTTTACATTTCTGGTGCAATCCTCTACCAGTGAGATGTTTTCAAAAACCCCTGGGAACTGGACACAAAGTGCTGTGACTTAACTTGTTTCATATGCAGCACTTGCCTCAAAAAGTGATGTTAAGGTCAGCTAATCTAAAAGCCCAGGCAAAGCATTAATCTGCATTGATAAGAGTTTAAATTTGTCAACGTTTTTCACTGGAAACTCCTGTACTTATGACAATTTTCATCAACATTCATGCACACTTAATGAATGTGAGCACATTCAAATTTTTTTGGGGATTTGAGAAGAGATTTACCTTATTTGGGAGTTGACAAGAAATTTTTTTGGCATTTATCATTAAAGTGTACATATAGTATTATAATAAATAAATATTTTAAAAAATTACCCTTCAAGTCCTTTCATGCTTCTGGAGACTCTCATTCAGCTCAACCAATGGGCAAGGGCTGAGAAATGAATCTTTCTTGCACCCTGTTCATGTACGTGCAAAATTATTAAATTTTCATTCTTTCTGTTCAACAGAATGTCGCAGGAATCAACCCAGGTGGAAATACTGAAAACGAGCCAGCCTTAAGTATCGATAATAACTTTCAAGATATTAAAATAGTTGATACGTCTGAACACAAAATGACATCTTCTACCAGGAATAGAATTAGGTAAACAATTTAATGTTGTTCATACGCATGGCAATCACTTCTTTGAGTCTATAGTTGTGTCATCTCTGGTAAAAACCTTGAAATATCTTTAATAATCCTTCAAGATATTGAAAAACCTGCTAAAGAACCTATATTATAAACTGACAATCTTGCCAAAGATCTCGGCAAAGATCTTTCAAGATTGTCAAGGATTTGATTAGGATTTTACCAGGACTTCAGTACAAAATTAATTCTCTGCAATATCTTCCAAGATCTTTAAGACTCCTTGAGGACCTTTGGAGGATTGTTGTAAGATCCGTTATGTTTTTCCATATCCTGGATCGGAAGGACCTTGATGATGTTCAGTGAAAATTAAGATGCTCAAAGATCCTTTTGAAGATCTTTGATGATCCTTGAAGATCCCTGAAATATTTTCACCAGGGATTATCAAAAATACCGTCGAACCTCTCCGCAATGCTCACCTTAGTTTGCTTCTTCATGCACTTGACATGTTTCACATTAATTAACGAAAAACATCTTATTTGTTATGCACAGTTCAAGTTTACCACTCTCTGGTCATCAATCAAGAAATGTTCGAATCAAGAAAAGGGGAACAATTTCATCAGCCTGGCTTGAAAAGTATAAACCCAAGTTAGATACAGACCATTGTGTGTCGCATTCGAATAGTTTAAGAGAGAGTAAATCTGAATCAGAAAACATTCACTTTGATGAGGAAATGTCCACTAGTGAGGAAAAGAACTCAGACAGAGAAAATACATGTAATACTTTGTGGACAAGTAGACAGAGTGAAATTTCTTGTTCAATTGAGAAATATAAAGAAACGTCTCAGAATTCCTTTAATGTTGTGGAAAAGAATACAAAAAAGAAGAGCCCTGAAATTAAATCAAACGTAAATAATCTGAAAAGTGCTGTGGATGGAAGTTGTAAAAGAGATCACGAAACTGTTGTAACATACAAATGCAAAGAAAGAGAGGATGAGAAATACACAAATGAAGAACTTCATCTGCAGGTCAGTGATGCAGATGAGTCATCAAGAAAAAGCTGTGCAAGTGGCTCAGATTTTGTTTCTCTGTCAAACCCTATCATGTCCAACGCATTAGGAGAAGATGCAGAATCTGCTTCTATTGAAGACTCTAGGAATTCTCCTCTAGAAGTCACAAGAAATAAAAGAAAAGCTGGAAGAGACACCATGGAACTGGAGAAGCCTTGCAAGAAGTTGCGATGTGAAAGTGATATCGATGAGGAGATCTGTGAAGAAAGCAAAGAGTAAGTTAATGAACAGGGCTGTTAAATATACTCTTATACCACATGGGCTTGTTGAATTTTATACATTCTGATTGTGCACACTTTACAATAGGGCAAATGCCATGCCCAGTGACTTGTTTCAGAAATCTTTAATATGAAACGACCTGACTTATATCTCTGTGCACTGTAGCAAAATCATAGTGTTGTTTCTGTAGTGAAACATTTCTAAACAGGTGCATGTTAAAACTTGTGATTTCTTTATTTGGGATTGCTAAGTGATTTGAATAGCATCAATGTTTTATACTTACAGAGAGAACAATGGAGATGAAGAGGATCTACCCCAAAAGGCTTCTAAACAAGAGACCCTTCATAAAAGTAGCAAAGCAAAGTACGTTTTCTCCTCCATATGTTAAATTACTAATAATACCAATGAACCAAGGGTGAGAAATAGCAGCAGGGAGATGTTCCAAAGTAGTGAAAATTTGTAAGAACTTCTTGGTGAATGTTCAGAATTGAAAGCTTTAAAGTGTCCATACGGCCTACAGGGTTTTTGTGGTTTTGGTATCTTTATAACATCTAAAAATGTATTCAAACCAAACAATGAATTCTGATGCTTTTTTTTTCTGTAAGTCAAGCTTTAAATTTCCCGCTTTGGCCACACCCAATGATGTTGACCACTTAATGAAAGATTGGTGACGAATGACGTCACTTCAGGAACGTCTCAAAGCTTCATGCTTTTGTTTTGCTTGCCTGACTACCGCATTGTTTCACCAACTTTAGTTTGTTTGTTTTTTGTCGACGAAAACTCCTCACCACTACTGAAACAACAGTGACCTGAACTAGCAGGATTTGGCAATTCCTGACTTGATGTCACAACTCATTCAGAAACCCAGACTCTTTATTTGCACTGACTCACGGTCAACTTCATTGGGCATGGCTGAAGCGGGAACTTTAAAGCTAGATTTTAGGGCTTTAAAATGTCGGAATCCAATTTTTTTCTTAGAATACCTTTCTACACATTATAGAGATAACAAAACTACAAAAACCCTGCTGGCCGTATAGACACTTGAAGTGATTTAAAATGACTTGCATGGAGCCACTATAGCTTTTTCAGATTCGACCAATCCAGCTTCACCTTACATAAACATCAGATTGTGGTAGATTATTTTCTTTAAGGTTACATTAGTAGGGCTATATAGTAGTACATGTATGACAAATACTAGTAAGCAGTTAGGTTAGTCCCATCATGTCAGAACTTATCTCTGGGAGTATTCCTATTTCCTCTGGGTGGAATGCTAGTTCACTGCACAATAAAGTGCAAGTTCCAATGAAAACACTATGTTTTAACTAGGGCTACACTTCACATGTATTTTGTTGTTGTTGTTGTTGTCACTCAGAGCATCATCAGGCCTTGTCAGTGACAATTTTCAGAGACTTAACATGAAGCACCGTTCTTATCGCCGGCGTGGTGGTGGTATCAGTGGATCTGCACACAAGAGGAAGGCTTGGAAACAGATCATGAAATCACGTGGTGAATTTGTTCCGCAGAAAAGTTGGAGTGGCAGAGGAAGGGGTGGTGGAAGAGGAGGGGCATCTGGGGCTTGTTATAAGTGTGGACAAGAAGGTCACTGGGCTAAGAACTGTAGAGGAGCTAAACGAAACAACAACAGTTTGGGCAGCAATTTGAAACGTTGGTATGTTTGTCAAGCTATTTTAAGACATAAGGGCACCTTTCCAATAGATGCCAACTTACTATTACAGCAATACTGGTGCCCTCCTTCCAGTAAGTGCTCCCTCTCTAACACGTGCTTCCCACTGAGGACCTTTTTTTCATTAAGCACCCCTACTCCATTAAGTGTCCTCTTGCAACAAGTGTCCCCTTAGCGAAAGCAGCATTCAAGACATGCTTTCAGCCCCCATTGTTACAGTTCTTGAGTTACAGTTTCTGTTTGTGTACTGCAAATAACAGTCAGTCATCAGACATTGGCTGATCAGAATTTGTCTATGTCCGATGAAATTCCAACTGTGGTTGGACATGTTGTCCAGACCATTTTTTTTTTTTTATCATAAATAATTTTACGGTAAGGATGACTAAAAATCTACCATGAGTAAATCTTACTTTTTTGGTGATGTCCAACCACATTTTTGTTTTGTCTGACCAAGATGGTGTCTTAGCAGGACATATGTCCTTTCAAGAGAAAAAAAAATATTTGTAGCCCTGAGTACCCCCTCTACTAAAAGCACCCTCTAGCTGCCAAAAGTAAATAAGCTCCTAGGGTGCTTAATTGAATCATTGTAGTATTTTGAATTGTAGTAGTGCAAAGTAGATTTTTAAAAACGATGCTCATGTTAGCCATCAGAGAGGTACTGCTTTTCACTGAGTAACTTTGGGAGGTAGATGTTCTACATTGGGCTTTGCAGGAGGTTTCCATGTACTTGTATCATAGGAAAACTTTCAAATTAGAGCATTTGCTGATGAAGTCCTGACTATAGGAACATGTTCTCCTTTTAATGGGACATATGTTTGTGTCATAAGTTAGTTTTTCAGCGAGTTCTTGATGTGTTAGGTATGCCTAACCACTGCAGGATGTCAGCTATTGTAGGGAAAGTTATAAAATAAGAACAGTTACTGAAATCCCACCAGCTGTTAAAATCTTCAGCTTCACCTCAGCTTCCTGCATGAACATGTTCACCATTTAACAGGGTTGATGCTTGTGTATTGAGTTGAATTAGAAGGATTAATGTACCTTTAATGGATTAATGTAGTTAGTGTTTCAATGAGCTCTTAAGGTGGGTCCCTCTTAATTACTAATTGGTCATGAATTTTAAAATCTTCAACTTCACTTGCTACACGAACTTGTTCACCGTGTAACTGGGTTGATGCTTNACGTTGGCCCACCTTTTTTCAAATTTTATCAGTTTATATCAAAATGTCATTTACACAGCTGGAAAATCATTCTCAGTTGTTATGTGGCCATGATTTTGTAAATGAAAGACTCTTGCTCTGCTACTTTGATGTTTAGAGCTTCTAATTAACAAAATTAAACGAAATTACCTAAAATAGCGTGCCCTAGCCCCTTTAACCACTAATATTATTGGTCATGAATTTGTTACTAAGGAAGGTTTCTAACTGTCTAACCAGACCTCCCAAGGATAAACATTTTGCACAGGTTTGTTCCATTGAAGAGTTTTAAATCTTGGCCATATTTGGCCAGTCACATGACCAGAATATAAAGAACCCTAACACTTAAAAGGTATCTAAATCCTAAAATTTGAATCAGTGTCAATAGATTAAGAACGTTGATGTGCTTAATGCTACGTGTGAGTTTTATGAAACTCGCATTATCATAAAAGTTATGAGGTAATAAACATCCATATTTACAGACTTTCTGCTGTAGCTTTCCTCTCTTACATTTAAATAGTAATTCTATATGTATGATTATAAAGAAGGCTACGTTATTTCTGATTCGTAAGAAGAATTAATCGGAACTCTTGATGTGGTAGGTACACTGTGCAATTACAGGTTGTCATATATTGTAAGAAAAGTTCAGGAATAAGAACATTCCATTGGTTGTTATGTTCAACTTCAACTGCTACATCAACATGTTCAGCCCTTTAGCGGTGATCATGTTGGTGTAGGAAGTTGAAATTTGAATAATTGAGTTCTGCTTTTTATTATGTAGCTAGGGGAAGTAGTTAGTTTTTCTTTGAGCTTTTGGTGTGGTTTGTACACTTTGCCATTGCAGGATATCAGATACCTTAGAGAAACTTTGGATATAAAAACATTTACCTCTAATTTCCTGTAACCTTCAAAAAGGAATACTGTCCATCTCTCAATTTACGATCTACATCATGCTCATCACTTAGTTGTCAAATGGTTAAAATGGACAGTTATGATGCAAGAGCCTTTTCTTTTGCTGCACTGAAATTATGGAGCACTGTACCAGAACACATTAAGAAAGTGAATACTGTGGAAAGTTTTAAAACTTAACTGAAGACCTATTTTTTTAAGAAGGTTTTTAGTCTGTTATTTTTCATAAGTAATATTGTTTAGTTAATTTAGTTAGTTAGTTTTTTGTTTTATTTATTTAGTTAGTTATTTACTGCTAGGCACATTGAGTTAAGAAATGCACCCTACAAAAATGTATTATTATTACAATCATATTACTGAAATACCATCATTTGTTGCAATCTTCAACTGCAACTGGCTTCATAAACATGCTCTCCTTTTAATGGGGAACATGTTTGTGGAAGCTGAAATTCAAAGAATTATGTGCTGGTTTTTATTATTTTACTTTGGGAAAGTAGTAGTTTTTTTTACAGAGAGGGTAGAGGGTACCAATATACGGTAGGTAAAGGTTGGTAAAGTCTGCACACAAGCCAAGTGGCCCATCAGGCTGACGCTTATCTCCGGTTTCCATAGCATAAAGCATCTAAGAGTATTTCTACTCGTCTGGATGGGATGCTAGCCCATCGCAGGGTTACCTCTAGCATTAAATTTGCCAGTACCCATTTATACACCTCACCCTGAAATTGCTTGACCTAACCTCTTAAATCATCTAGTAACATGGTCTTTGTTTGTAACTTAAGTGAACAAGAAACAGATGATGTTGAGATGGAGGAGTTTGAACCACTCCCTACATTAGAGGAAGCTGCATTGATGGCTGCAGGAGTGCAACAGGATGACTCCTCACAAAATGAGGAACTTGTGATTCTACCACACCAGCTTCCTAGGCCTGTGTACACACCACCCAGCCCTCCCCCAGCAGTCAAGCCTTTTTATCAGCCAGAGAATGGAAAGCCCATTGGTAAGTAACATCAACATGATTGTGATTGTTATGTTCAAGAGGAACAAGACAAAGAGTACATTTACCCCAGTAATTCCATGGACTAGAACAAAGTTAATGAAAACAATATATGTTCCAGTATACAGATAAAATAGACCTTTTTAGCTAGGGTGGAATGTTGCCTCATTTCAGACCACGTGATGATACTCTTGAGAATTTCTGCTTACAGATTTTGAAGTAGTCACATGTATATACATGTAAATAAGTAATTTTTAGATGGATACAGGAACAATTCTTTAGAGGATATCACGTTGTCTGTAATGGGAAAACAAAGCGCCCAAGCTAAAAAGGTCTGTTGATTCACAACCTTAACAAATGGCAACGGTCACACTTGTCTTATAAGATACACTTGTACTTGATACATGTTCATTGGAGTAGTTACTGTAAATCCGTAGTACTATGAACGTAATTACTGTTCTATGAATCTTTATTTTTCTTTAAGTGTAATTCTGGACTTACTGGTTTTAATTTACATAACTTTGTCCAATTTTGTAGTGGGCGTTCCCATCGGGGATCTTCTGGGCTTTTCCTCNTTGTCCAATTTTGTAGTGGGCGTTCCCATCGGGGATCTTCTGGGCTTTCCCTCAATAACAAAACCACCAAATCAGCTCTTTTCCGTAACTCTTTCTTCATATGAATAACTGATTTGTGGAATGCATTACCTATCCTTATAAGGTCAGAGTTAAAGTTAGTACCGTTTAAGAAAAAGTTGAAATCATTTTTTTATAATAGATTAAGTTTGGTGTTCAATCAAGGTGACATTCGTTCATATAAGTTAGTCTGTCCTCAGTGCCGTTGTGTCAATATTGTCACAAGTTGTTCTTGTTAACTCTTTTTTTTGTTTTCCTCTGTTTTGGAAAAATTTCTTTTCTTTTGGTTTTCATGATTATTTATATTGTGGTTCCAGGGAATAGGTTACCAATTTTTTAGGGGGATGGTTAGGTGGTGGGGTTAACTAGTACCTCATGGCGAATAATCTGTAAAATAAAATAAAAAATAAGTAAGATCATTCAAACGGGCTACCAAGCATTTGAGGGGGAGGGGGGAATTATGTACATTGTCACTAGTAAACTAGAGTTCAGAAGTTTATCTCACATCTCAGGACTGGCAATGGATGTACCTGTGACATCCAACTTAACTCACACTAAATTTGACTATGAACAGAAATTGCGAGATGAAAAATGACCATACATTCTTACGTTTGTGGCGATTTTTCTTATACCACTTTCTTTTGTGTCACACAAGAGAGACTAAGAAAAGGGGGCTGACGTACAGCAAAATAATAATGGTAATGACTCAATATTTTCCTTTTCATTGTATTTCAGACATTACAAAAGAAGTGTTGTCTTCTCTAGAGAAGTTAGGATTTTCATCATTCCGACCAGGGCAACAGGAAGCTGTAATGAGAATCCTTTGTGGTAAGTGTAGGTGAAGTCTGCATCTGAGCCAATTAGCCCATCAGGTCAGCACTTATCTCCAGTTTCTGTTGCGTGAAGTGCCTAGAATTATTTCTTCTCCTTCCTGGATGGGATGCTAGTCCATTCCAGCATTGAATCCTGCAGTACCCATTTATACACCTGGGTGGAGAGGAGTGCTCTAGGAGTAAAGTGTCTTGCCGAAGAACACAACGCAATGACCCAGCCAGGGCTCTAATTTGGACCGTTCGATCTGGAGGCAAGCGCACTAGTGGCATGGCATGGACTAGTGACTTGACTAAATGTAAAAGCTAAAGGTGTGGACTCGTGACAAGTCTTCTGTGACCCACAGAGCACTTATAACTGACAAATTATTGACGACTATTTAATGACTCAAATGGCCAGGATTATGTATTTAATGCAGTGCTAGGCCCAGGTTACAATTTACATGTGCCTTGGTCAGCTATGACGTCTTTTGCAAAGCTTATGAATCCACTGATTTCAAAATTATTGTTGGANTGTATTTGTCGTCTTTGTCGGCTTCAACACTGACAATATCGGAGAACAAGCAGCATCCCGTGGAACTACTGCGTGTTGATCATTATTTGAATGGTTTCCTCAACAAACATTAGTTACTCAGCCTTTTTCTAAAAATAAGCCAGTGAAATTAGAAACATCTTGCTTTGCTTCTAAATCTTTACCCGTCTGATGAGATTTATTTCTCATGATGTTGTCAGTCCAAACTGCAAGAAAATTATTGTATCACCTTAAGCTGGTAACTCCTTGACAGTGTTTTTCGTTCATCTTCATAGGTTCTTCGTGAGAAGTTCGGTGTGCGTTGTTTCCTGGGATTGACGGCCACGGCCACACAAGCGACAGCCAGCTCGGTCGCTGAGCATCTCGGTATTGCACACGATCCCGGCGCTGTGATCCGAGGCGGAGCTGTACCGCCCAACTTGTTTCTGTCTGTTTCATGTGACAGTGACAGGACACAGGTACAACTTGACAGCTTTTCACAGCTTTTTTTTTTAACTTTTCCGTTGTTTGAACCTCTTTTCCGTAGAGGTTCAAAAGTTATTTTATGTTAGTGACTGCTTGAAGAATGAAAAATGAAAAAAAAATTGATAACCATGGAAACATGCAATTTGTGAAAGTAACAGTGTCAAGATTATGAATAGAGTGTTTTCACTTGACGTCATGGCAGCCATATTGGTGTCCTGAAACAATGAAACGGCGGCCATGTTGGTGTACTAAACCAATCCTGTGGGAGTTGAACTCTTTTTTTATGTATACACTTTCTTTTGTTCCAATAAATTTGAATGGCTGCTGGCCACGTGAGTGAAAACGCTTTGTATGAAAGATGAAAGTATCATATCATATCTCTGGGAAGCAGGGTTGGCGCAGTGGCGAGAGCGCTCGCCTCCCACCAATGTGGCCTGAGTTCGATTCTGGCCCGGTGCCATATGAGGGTTGAGTTTGTTGTTGGTTCTCGCCTTGCTCTGAGGGTTTTTCTCTGGGTCTCCGGTTTTCCTCCCTCCACAAAAAAACCAACATCTTCAAATTCCAATTCGACCAGGATAGAGGACCTGCATGAAAACCAGCTGAGGCTGATGTGGCTTCCTCTCAAGATATTCGTTTTCTCGATGGTCCGTTGTCATGTTGCAAGGAACGAGAGAATTTGTAACCCAATACCTCCCCCCAGGAGATAGGACAATGAAGTAGCATTTTACCGGGTGGCTGTACAATGTAAATGCACACTTTGTTTTTCATCAGGCGTTGTTACAGTTGCTTCAAGGCCGTCGATTCTCCCAGTGTGATTCAATTATAATCTACTGCACCAGACGAGAGCAGACCGAGAAACTGGCCTCAACCTTACGCACGTGTTTGCAGAGCACCAGGCTCGCGTCCGGCTGGAACGGTCAGGATGAACCGGGAGAGGAAGAGGAGGAGGAAGAGACTGGGAAAAAGAAAAAGAAAACCAAAGGGTGAGAACTCTCAAAATCCACTGACATAAGTACAGACAGGTTGGAAGAGACTTCTTCCTCTTGCCAACAACCAAGTTATATGGGTTATTGATCAAGTATGAGCTCAAAATAGCTGAATATTAAGCAAGTTTGTTTTCTTTATGGACTGTGATGTAGTCGAGA